GTTGGGTTACCCACGCCCGTATTGATGAGAATCCCGGAATAAGGGGACACGATCTCTACTTTAACAAGACGTGCCAAGGAAACCGCCTCGCATGACACGCCGAGGTGGGACAATAAAACGATTCGAATAAAGGCTTGGCCGTGGTGCGATGTCACACTACGGAATACATCAGCAGATTAGATTTGTGTAAATATTATTCTCTCTATGGCAATATGTGGAAACTTATTTTGCAGAGCCGGACACTATCTTTGTGTTCAAAATCTTCTATGAAGTACTTGGAGGAGGAACCCGCCTTGCAATGCCGAAGACAAATTGCGCGCCGGACTCGTCGTCATTGAAGCCTGGTTCAGGGGCTACTGAGGGAGTCCTGGATTAGGGGGTGTCCGGATGGCCAGACTGTACCTTCAGCCGGACTCCTGGACTATGAAGATACAAGATTAAAGACTTCGTCCCGTGTCCGGAAATGATTTTCCTTGGCGTGAAGGTAAGCTTGGCGATACGGATATGTAGATCTCCTACCATTGTAACCGACTTTGTGTAACACTAACCCTCTCCGTTGTCTATATAAATCAGAGGGTTTTAGTCCGTAGGACAACATACAGCAACAAACATACCATAGGCTAGCTTCTAGGGTTTAGCCTCTCCGATCTCGTGGTAGATCTACTCTTGTACTACCCATATCATCAATATTAATCAAGCAGGACGTAGGGTTTTACCTCCATAAAGAGGGCCCGAACCTGGGTAAAACTTCGTGTCCCTTGCCTCCTGTTACCCTCCGGCCTAGACGCACAGTTCGGGACCCCTACCTCTTCCCCCTCAAGCTCCATTAATGCTCAAGCTCCATTAAATGCTCCAAGCTCCATTTTCGCCCGATCTATCTCTCTAGCCAATCAAACTTGTTGATTTGCTCGGGAGTGGTTGAGAAGGCCCTGATCTACACTTCCACCAAGGGATTTTCGATTCCCCCACTCATCCCTAGCGGATCTTGTTACTTTTGGGTGTTTGAGCATCCTAGACGGTTGAGGTCGCCACGGAGCCATAGTCCATTGTGGTGAAGCTTCGTGGTTTTGTTGGTAGCCTCCGATTAAGTTATGGAGATTGACCAACCTTGTTTGTAAAGGTTCGGTCGCCGGCACAACCTTGTTTGTAAAGGTTCAGTTGCCGGCACCAATAGTGGAATCACGGCATCTCACATTGTGTGAGGGCATGAGGAGAATACGGTGGTCCTAGTGGCTTCTTGGGAGCATTGTGCCTCCACACCGCTCTCCTGCTTGCTTGTTGTTATTGCATCATATAGGTTGCTCACCTAGTTGCACATCTAGACAACCTTCTTTGATGCAAAGTTTAATTTGAAAAGTTAAAAATTGGTAGCCCCCCTGAGTGGGAGTTCAAGGCAGGGCTCCAGGTCCAACATTACATTCAAAGGGGCGACAACTCAGTTTTGGGTTCAAGGCAGGTCCAACATCAGTTGAACCCAAAACTCTATTCAGATATTAGTTCGTTTTAGTTCAATTTCTTGGGTTCAACTGTTTTGTTATTTAAGCACTATATACATTAAAAAAATAAAAGTTTGAGGTAAAGAACTAAGATGACCATTGCATGTATGTGCAACAAATGTGATCTTACATCACAATGCTCATTTTGATCATAGAAGAGGGCATCAAAACAAATTTTATTGAGTGCGCATCTAGTTTAACTTTCCACACTTCAGGCATGATGCTCCCAAAATTTCAGGCACAACAACAATGGTCGGTAGTTAAAATATGTGCATGTCATTAATCTCACAAGAATTACAAGGACTCTAGCCAATATGACCAGGCAAGCCTACAGATCACAGTACAATGTTCCCTCTGTATCATTGGTACAAGGCTACAATCATGATACAGAAGTAGAGCACCATCTGCTTCATATCATCCAGTAGGTTCAGCAGCTCCTTGCGCTTGAAATGGCTTTCTGCAATCAGGAGAAAGAAAATACATTTGAGAAACCACATCTAAGCAAAGCTGATATATGATTGGCGTGTACAATTGTCAAAAAAAGAAGAGATGAAACACAATTAGGAAATACAAGCTCCAGTAAAAGTTTTTTGGTTTTACAATGCCTCAGGTTTGTCAATTGATGTCATTTTCTCGAGAGGTTCTCCCTGAAAACAGGGGCTCGAGCGTCCATTTTGCAGACAGAAACATCATTGGCAAAACCGTTTTGAACCAAATTCCCAGTACATTCATAACAGGGAGAAAAAACCATTGAAAGATATGGAGGATTGGGAAGAAGAACCATCAGCGGCAAATGTTTTGACCTCAATGTAATTCAGTCCGCATCATGGTAGGATCGCTCACAGGCAACCCTCATCATCTGGTTCTATACATTATTCCTCCAAATCCAGTTAATATCCAAGACTACAGTATTCTCACAAAGGCAAAAGCTGAAAACGGTTTCTCAAAACCAATAACAAAATACGAAAGTCATGAGATGGCTCAGAATTAAAATGGGTTGTAAGTTTGTTTATCAGCACAAAGAGATAAATCTCTTCAGAGTGGTGCATGACTTTTCTCATCATAGCCATTATCATCATTGGAAAACCAAGGACAAACTCCATTCAAGACTGGGGGTATTGGAAAGAAGAACCATCAGCGGCAAATGTATTTGACCCCAATGTAAATTCAGTCCGCATCATGGTAGGATCGCTCATAGGCAACCCTCATCATCTGGCTCTGTTATTATCCCTCCAATCCAGTTATTACCTTAAATTACTTGGTTTCTCAAAAACCAAGAGACAAATCAGAAAATACAAACACGCGAAGCGGCTCAGATGTAAAATGGTTTGTAAGTTTGTTTATCAGCACAAAGAGAAATCTCTTCAGAGTGGTGCATGACTTTTCTCATCATAGCCTTTACAAAGCACCTATTAGGAGACATAAATATCAACAGAAAACAAAGTAATTAATATGCAATGCAACAAGGTTCACGAAACAAGTTACCAAGAACTGCACTGGCATTCAAAATATGCGGGACTGAGAAGAACCATCAGCGGCAAATGTATTTGTCCTCAATGAAATTTCAGTCCGCATCATGGTAGGATTGCAGTTGGGCAACCCTCATCATCTGGTTCTGTACATTATTTCCCCAAACTGGTTTATAAAAACAACCATATATGGCATGAAAAGCAAATAAAGAAGAAATACAAAAGTAGGTATCCAAGAGGTGGCTCAGATGTAAAATGGGTTGTAAGTTTGTTTATCAGCACAAAGAGATGAATCTCTTCAGAGTGGTGCATGACTTTTCTCATCATAGCCAAAATGTCATTGAATACCTCAGATTTGTCCATTGATGTCATAATACTAGGAAGTACAATAAGGAATACCTCAGATTTGTCATTTGATGTCATTTTACATCTGCTTTCTCAAGAGGTTCTCCCTGAAACAGGGGCTTGAGTCCACAGGGCATCCATTTTGCAGACAGAATCATCATAGGAAAACAACAAATAATTTATACATATCATGCAACAAAGGAAGCTAAATAAAAACTCAAATCTCAATTCAATCACTAGCACAAACTATTGTCTCAGATTTGTCAATTGATGTCACATTATATCTGCTTCATCAAGAGGTTCTCCCTGAAACAGGGGCTTGAATCCACAGAGCATACATTTTGCAGACAAAATCATCATTGGCAAAACTTAAGAAAATGATGGTTAAGGCAACAAAGATAGTTGCAAAATCAAAAGTCACACCTCAATACATTCTAACTACAAAAATAACACGGCAATAAACAGAACAATGCTATCAGGCAAAACTTAAGAAAATGATGGTTAAGGTATCAGGCAACAAAGATAGTTGCAAAATCAGAAGTCAACAGACCTCAATAGATTTAACTTCTAAAATAACCACGCAAAAAGCAGAACAGTGCAAAAAGATGTCTCAGATTTGTCAACTGATGTCATATTATATCTGCTTCATCAAGAGGTTCTCCCTGAAACAGGGGCTTGAATCCACAGAGCATACATTTTGCAGACAGAATCATCATTGGCAAAACTTAAGAAAATGATGGTTAAGGTATCAGGCTATAAAGATAGTTGCAAAACAATGCACTTAACTACTAAAATAACAAGGCAATAAGCAAAACAATGCTGCAAGATGTCTCAGATTTGTCAATTGATGTCATATTATATCTAATTCATCAAGAGGTTCTCCCTGAAACAGGGGCTTGAATCCACAGAGCATACATTTTGCAGACAGAAATCATCATTGACAAAACTTGGCAAGATGCAACAAATTCAAGCCACAATAGTTTTACATAACTTAATTGCACATAACCACTATATTCACAATACAGTTAGAAGAAAAGTGATTTGATCCAACAGATGTAGAGAGAGATTTTGGAAGCATAACCATAAAGAGTGACCTCCCACGTTAAACTCACCAGGAATTACTATGTGCCACTATGACTGGGCAACTTTGAGAAAGAACAATCTCAAGATGCCAAAGGTGTGAGAGGCACCGGAGCACATTATAGCTCCGGTAAGCATAAGGTCAGAACTAATGAATGCTCATCAAACCACATGAGATCAAAAAAGTATTTTTTTTCTGTCATGATAACAATAGATGTGGCGAGAGATTTTGGAAGCATGGCAACAATCTGCTAGCTCCCACGTTAAACCGGCCAGTGATCACTATGCGCCTCCATGACTGGGCAACTTTCAGAAAGGTCAATCTCAAGAAGCCAAAGGTGAGAGAGGCGCCGCACACACAAGATCCAACAACAAGATTTGCCTATGATGGTCATCGAACAGCAGTATTCAATTGAGTAGGAAAGCAGAGTTGTCACAAGCATCAACTTAATTTTCCTAGCAAAATCCAAGATCCAACAGCGAAATTTGGCTATGATATTTTCCTAGCAAAATCGCCACTCAATAACAGGGAACACGGTCATCACACAGAAGTTTCTGCAGTTTATTGTAAAAAAAAGGACACATCGAGAGGAGGCAGAAGCATAACCTCTCATGAATCGGCCTTCTTCTCCGGCGAAGCGGAGGTCGGGGACGAGCCGGCCGCGGCGGCAGCAGGGGCGTCGTGGGAGCAGCAGCCGCCGCCGGCGTGGTGGTGGTGGTGGTGCTTCTTGGGGACGGGCTGGCGCAGCATCTTGCGCATGTCGTAGGCGTCCTCGCCGTCGGCGTAGTACTTGGCCTCGATGTCGTGGATCTGGTAGCCGAGGGTGGAGGTGTAGAGGTTGAAGGCGGCGCGGTTGGAGCGGCGGACGTGGAGCGACACGTACTCGGCGCCGAAGACCTGGTCCATGGCGGCCTGCGCGGCCGACATGAGCTTGGTGGCGAGGCCGAGCTTGCGGTGGGAGCGGAGCACGGCGAGCGAGGTGATGTGGCCGTGGCAGGGCTCCGAGGGGTCCTCCTCCATCTTGGCCAGCACGTAGCCGACGATGCGGCCGCCGTAGTCCTCGGCGACGAACAGGAGCTGCGGCCACGAAAGCATGTGGTAGAAGTAGTACTTCATCTGGTAGTTCTCCGGCAGGCACATCAGGTTGCACGCCTGCATCGCCAGCAGGTCGTCGATCGTCGCCTGCCGGATGCACACCATCTTCCACGCCGCGGCCGCCGCCGCTCGGATCTAATCTAACGACTGTATGGATCTAGGGTTGGGTGGTGGGGAGCCTTCGCCGGCGGGATGGGATGAGGTGATGGTGATGGAATCGGCGGCGGTGGAGGGTATTAATAGAGGTGGGGTGGGGAAAAGGATGAGAGACCTTGACCTAACCGGCTAACCCTAGAGGAAAAGGGCCGAAATAGGCCCATGGGCCAAGGCAAGTTAGCCCAAGACAGAACCATATTATAACATAAAAGTCCAAACTCTTAAAAAATAACAAAATAAATGGACTAAACAATTCACATCAAAAAATAAATGGACTAAAAAACGATGTGAGTTGGGAAAAATTGTAAGAACAAGCGAAAGCTTTCAAAAACTCTTAAAGGTTGACTAATGGCGCTGAAAGTGCATTCTATGACTATGCAAAATGTCCCTTGGCTAAATAATATGTAATATCCGGTGTTATATATGTACATGCCTTTTTGTATAAGCTTGATCAAAGGCCATGGAGTTGACTCTAAAAAAAGTCTATTCGCGCTGTATTTTGAAATGGAGGGACCTTTCAGGGGCCTATCACACACACTGTCGCCCATATGGTTTTTGTTTTTCAGCTTTTTTAGTTGTATATTCCCCTAATACTCCCTCCGTTCCAAAATAGTTAGTTCAAAGTTGAGTCATCTATTTTGGAACGGAAGGAGTATTTCTCAAGCGAATACAAGACGGATGAAAAGCACAATATACATGCAGCGATTCTCCTACGATATGATACTATTCTCCAAAAATGAAGATAAATGCAACCATTGTTGCTTTCATAGGATGTTTGAAGCAGGTCCATACAAATTGCAAGTTCATCGACACATGTCAAACACGATCATAATTAGTTTTTCCAAAAGAACATAAGCTTGTTTGGAACGTGTTTTACGTAACACGGTTTTGAACCAAATCGACTAATGCAAAGCTTATGACGCCCCGTCCGCTGTGAGGAAGGGCTTGGCAATCTCATCGGTTCCATCAGTTGGTGTCACCAACATGACAGCAATGCATTTACATCTTGATTCATCGTGTTGGTTGGACACGGCTCGTAAGTTGAATTTCATTTTGGCATGTTTCAATATTGATTTGTGGTTCACTTTGCTTTGTTGCATTGTTGAATTGTTAAATCGGCGATGAATTTGTGTTATATGGTCAACGCTCATGGATTCGAGGGTTTCGAAATGAGGAGCGTGGTTTTCGGGCAAGACTTTTGAGGGGGCGTCCGACGATGTCCGGGGTCGCGCCCGGGTGCCTCCGCAAACATTTAGGAGGGGGGGGGGGATTTGTCAAAGTCCGACTTTAGATGCTCTAGCTGTGCAAAATGTTACTACTTTTGTTCCCTAACGTAGTGCTTAAGTATCTTTTTAGAATTCAAACTTCGTAAAGTTAACCAAATTTATTGAGAGAACTACATGTATTTTCAAATAGTTATGTAAATATAATATGAAAAAATGTCTCATCACGCATCCAATAGTATATAGTTGGTATTTGGTATTGCAAATGAAGATAACCTTTTAAATGACCAAGTTTTCAAAGTTTGACTTAATTTCGAAATCACATTTCGGGGACAGGAGCAAGTACCTTGTCACTGTTTCAGCCAAGTTTTTTTTTTCAATTGACATTGAAGATCAAATTCTCAGGGACAGGAGCAAGTACATTGCCACCCAATTGTTTGTTGCCCGATGCAGCTCTGCCTTTGCCTGGCTGGCACTAAAGCATCTATAAATTGAGGATGAACAGTTTATTTAACTTTGAACTCATAAAACAAGCGTGAAGAGAGCTCTGCCTTTGCCTGGCTTGCACTAAAGCATCTATAGATTGAGGGTGAACAGTTTACTGAACTTGGTTGAACTCGTAAAACAAGCATGAAGAAAGCAGCAAAAGACGCCCACGAAACAAAGCTGCTATTTTCCATGGTATTTTGTTTGTGAGCAATTCTGGTAAACTTGTATCTACACCTGATATTTCATCAAGCTAAAATGCAAGATAGATGCAGCCATTCTCCTAGAACCATGACAACATTCTCCAACAACGAAGATAAATGCAAGCATGGCTGCTCTGAAAGGATGTTTTAAGTAGCTCAATACAAATTACAAGTTCATCAGCACATGTCAAACACGGGTACAATTAGTTTTTTTTCTCCAAAAGAACAGAAGCTCTTTTGGCACATGCTTGAGTAACACAGCTCTGAACTAATTGACTAGCACAAAGCTTATGACGCCCCCTCCGCTGCGAGGAAGGGGTTGGCAATCTCGTCGGTTCCATCAGTTGGTGACACCAGCATGACAGCAGTGCCTCTGCACACCTGCAACACAAAGTATCATTGTATCAATAGATGTATGACATATGTACTCAACAACAGCAAAGCAAAACACACAAAAGGAATAATTAAACAATCAATTCATATCCAGCATAACAACTGATGAGCACATGGGGAGCTAATTGCTGAGAAAGGTTAAGGGCCATATGGTATATATTAATATAACATCGGTAAACAATGGAGGATAGCATCCACTATCAAGATATTCAAAATGATAGGCAGAGGATTGAATCCACATGTTGACTGATAGAGACAATAGTAAAAGAGTACTTACAATTAGACCAAGTTGTCTGGTCTTGGTTGACAGCTTCAATGGGTCATCTTGCTCTACAAAAGAAAATTGCAAGATGAAGGTTATTACACATGACACTGTAGAAGAAAGGGGGGCCATTATTCTCTTTAAATGTGCAGGAGTTACAATGATCATGTTGTTTACAGAAAACATAAACTCCACATTTGTTGCAATCTACTCCCTCCGTTCCGAATTACTTGTCGCAGGTATGGATGTATCTAGATGTATTTTAGTTCTAGATACATCCATTTCTGTGACGAGTAATTTAGAACGGAGGAAGTAGTACTCAATGCAGTGCTCTATTACAAAGTTAGCCTTGACGAATTTTTAGTAGAACAAAAGATTCTATGCTGAACAAATAAGTCATAGCTCTCGCCCTAAGCTCTAACTGTATAAACCGTCAGTCATTAGAAAAAAAAATAGATGGACAGTAAGAGCGTGTTCGGATTCACTCCGCTCCACAGCTCTGCTCCAGGAGCGGGCCGAGCGGTGCCGAACGCTACTACTCCGCAGAGTCAGACGAGCGGAGCGGAGCAGACTGTAGTTCAATCCGGCAGAGTCGCTGAAACCGAGCTCCGCGTGCCACTCCCTAGCCTCTCGCGCAAAACTTACGGGTTCGCTTGATCCAATTTTCTCGCTAGCGCGCAGCAACTACCTGAACCTCACACCCCGTCGTGGAGGGAGTGGAGTGGTTAACGAACGTGATAGCCACTCCTGATTTTTTGGGGCAGAGCCAATAATCCAGGAGCAGGGAGTGCCGGAGCGGAGTCAAGGATTCAAAGGAGTGGAGGGGATCCGAACACGCCCTAAAACCCAAATGAAGGAAGCCTAAATACCTCTTTCAGACTCGACTGCTTCATCCAGCACCAAGTTCAGCAGCTGGTCATATCCCTTCAAAGTTCCTGTAACTGCAAATATGCATATGTCACGTCAGTATATAACTGCTAGCAAGAACACAGCAGGAGATAAACAGGTAGTACCTCCGTTCATAAATATAAGATGTTTTGGATGTTTCAATATGGACTACATACGGAGCGAAATGAGTGAACAAACACACTAAAACGTGTCTATATACATCTGATTCATAAAAAAGTTAGAATATCTTATATTTGTGAACTAAGGGAGTACATAGGTTTCATAGAGCTGGCCACCATAGGAGCTTAAACGATTTTCAACTAGTAAGGTAAGAGACACCTCATACCCACACCCTGTCAAAATTTATAGACAAACATACCCAACAAAAAAGAGGTGCAAGCAAGCACAAGCCTGTAAATGATTTGCGATAAAAGTCCATACATCACGCTAACACATGATGAATTACCATGATCCAGGTTTAATTTCAGTTTCCCACCCCACCTGTTTCCTCACTGTAGAAACAGGTACCCTAGCACACATCTAGACTAGATAAACTCACACATAGGCATTTGTTTTCTGACTAGAATGACAAGAGCCAACAACTCACACACAGACACATCCTTCAACACCAGAGAAACACAAAACTCACCAACTAAATCAGACAAAGGCCAGCTAACAAGTCACGTCAGTAACACTCGCGCCATTCTCTACGAATCACTCTGCACCAAACACTGCACGGGTGGCAGAGCCTGACGCAAAACAAATAGGGAGCCCTCTGATGGATCTGACGATGTATCTTATCATAACACTGGGAAGGGATAGAGGAAAAACGAGGGGATTTGGGCTGTGCGAATCGAATCAACCTTGGCGGCCGCCGGTGAGCTTGACCTGGACGCCCTTGTCGACGAACTTGGCCAGGTCGAGCGCCGTCTCCTTGCGCCCCGCCTGAGCAGAAACCAACAGCAAAACATCAACGACACGCCCGCACCAACAGGAATCGAACCACCGAACCAGCCCGCGCAACAGCTTACCATCTCACCAGCCGAACCCTCCTCTCGCCTCGAGCGCGCGGACCGGGCGAGGAGTTTGCCCTAGAAATCGATCGCCGCCGCAGGTCGGGAAGGAACGAAGCGAACACTCTCGTATCGCGTAGGAGGAAGCCGGCAGCAGCTCGTGGCTATGGCTATGGGCTACGGACGGGCAGGGGAGAGAGGTTCTATCCTGGGCGGCCCAGGTGGACCTACCCCATGGGCCGAAGACTCGTGGGCCTGTTTAGCCTGGCGACCCAGAAAGGAAGTAAAGCCGCGAGGGTCCCGCGACCGGCGGGTCAATTATTTTCTTTCCTTTCCTCCCGCTGCCTCCGGTTCGTCCGCCGCTGACACAGGTGGCGCCGCGCCGCTCGGGTCGTCCCTGGTCAGCAGCCGCGACTCCGACGCCGCCGTTGCGTGCAGGAGAGGGTGCGAGCGGTCCGTCGGTCGAGCTGAGACTAGCGTCCACCGACTACGGCTTCGCGCCAGGTCGGTCGCCGCGGTGGGCTTCTCCCATCGACGGCGGTGGAGGTGGCGACAGGAGAAGAGAAGGTGATTGCCGTGCTTCTCTCGCCGTAGACTCCGGCGTCTCCGCGTTTTCCGCGTGCCTTGTTTCGTGGCGGCTTGCTGCGTGCGAGGTTGGCTCTGGTTTGGGCGTGTGGTGCAGCTGTTGTGGCGCCCAGCACCTGTTCGACGGAACGCCTCCAAGCCTCCATCGTGCTCCCGCCACTCGAGTCGTTGGTATTGTCGCTTGTCAGCTAACCGTGGTTGTGTGTCTGTTGTCCTTGCAGTGAGCTGTTGATCGGAGACGAGTGCTTTGGCTATAGTTGGAACCAGCAGAGGCAATGTGAGTCCACCTGATCATCATAATGCCTTAGTGGCATGATAATCTGGATAAATACATAGTAATCAATCCGAATTTTTTGCAATTAACTACTCGTTGCATAGAGACAACTACTACTCGTTGCATAGAGACAACTATCTTTGTGCATTGGGGCATTCGATTGGCTGCCACCTGCCACTAGGCTGACAGCCACATGATGCTATCCTGTCCTGTCCTCCTGACCTGTTCGCTGTTGAATGCCACTGCAGGGAAGACGACAGAGACACGCTCCGGATACTTGTGGCCACCGACTGCCATCTGGGCTACATGGAGAAGGACGAGATACGGAGGTTTGATTCGTTCGAGGCTTTTGAGGAGATATGCTCGTTGGCAAAGCAGAAGGAGGTTCGTAGGAGCAATGTTTTGCGTGCGGTTATTTTGATCCACCTGTTCATCCTGTCGTGGACAGCCCATTATTGGCCTGTAATAACTGGGATGAGACTGATTCGCAGGTAGACTTTGTGCTTCTTGGTGGTGACCTGTTCCATGAGAACAAGCCTTCGCGTTCAACCCTGGTGAAGACCATTGAGATTCTACGCCGCTACTGCCTGAATGACCTGCCAGTGAAGTTCCAGGTTGTCAGTGATCAGACAGTCAACTTCCCAAACAGGTTGAACAATGAATCTCAAAGCTCAACATTCCATTTCATAACGGTCCTCATATTTTGGTGATTACTCGATTTAAAAATTCAAGAAGGACAACCACATGATTTTTCATGAGAAAGCCTATTACTTTTAATTTATTTTGATCTTATTTATCTCTTTATCATGCATGAAAACCGTAGGAAAGATGTGTGCAGTTATATTCTTGGCCATGTTCTCAGATGAACTTTCCTGTTGCATTACCAGATTTGGCCACGTAAACTATGAAGACCCACATTTCAATGTTGGCTTGCCTGTGTTCACTATCCATGGAAATCATGATGATCCTGCTGGGGTGGTATGAGCTTATTTTTATGATCTTTTGAATTGTATGGGTTTCTACTGAAATTATCTGTATTATGTCTCTCCACTTTCTTTTATGCATTCGTTCATTTTTCCTCATTGTAGGATAACCTCTCTGCTATTGATATCCTTTCGGCTTGCAATCTTGTAAATTATTTTGGGAAGATGGACCTTGGCGGCTCTGGTGTTGGTCAAATAGCTGTCCATCCAGTACTTGTTAAAAAGGTGAACTACTTCAGTCCCAGGCAATATCATGAGCTCTCAGATGCCAAATCTGTAATTTCATATCATTTCAGGGTACAACTACAGTTGCACTATATGGCCTTGGGAACATTAGAGATGAGCGACTGAACAGAATGTTTCAGGTGCCTCTCCATTCTGCTAGTTTGGTTTGGAGCTTTTTATAGAGCAATATTTTTTTTGTATCTTTGTACATCTGCAACGCAGTCACCCCTTTATGATTTCATATTCTGTATCTCAACACTTCAGACACCACATTCAGTACAATGGATGCGACCTGAAAGTCAAGAGGGTCTATCAGTATCTGACTGGTTCAATATCCTGGTACTTCATCAGAACAGGTATGCATTTTACTAATTTATTTCAGTCCTTAATCCTGCATGCTGGAAAGCAATTTACATCTGAAGTTCTGAACACATACAGGATAAAGACAAACCCAAAAAGTGCCATCAACGAGCATTTCTTACCACGTTTTCTAGACTTCGTGGTATGGGGCCATGAGCATGAATGCCTTATTGACCCCCAGGTAATAATTTGGGATTTCTTTTTGAAATTATTATTTTTTTCAAGGAAAAAACTTACTGTGCACTTGCCTTCTGATCAATTGCCTGTAGGAGGTCCCTGGAATGGGTTTTCACATTACGCAGCCAGGCTCATCAGTTGCAACCTCCCTGATTGATGGTGAAGCAAAACCAAAGCATGTTCTTTTGTTAGAAATCAAGGTTAATTTTCTTCTTCTTTTATGTTAAACACTACATTGTTGTGGTGTTCAGAGTTTTCTTATTCCTTGCATATTCCTTCAACAGGGAAACCAGTATAGACCAAACAAAATACCTTTGATGACCGTTAGACCTTTTGAGTATGCTGAGGTATGCCACTCCTTACTTCATGCTTATATAAGTGATTCTCGGTTTCTCATGGTGTTGAATGTGTAGGTTGTGTTGAAAGATGAAGCAGATGTCGACCCTAACGATCAGGCCTCTGTTCTTGAACATTTGGATAAAATTGTGAGTTTTCAGTTTCCTGTTTTGTGTTTAGAACTTCAGATATTGTCCCTTTTCCTATAAGCATATGGCATTGCTGGTGTGAATTCATCAATAATTCTTATTTGCCAGTTTCTTTAGTCTGGTGAAACTCCTTTGTTAAATGGAAACGATTTACCTCGATTTCAGGTAAGAAATCTGATCGAAAAGAGTAGTCAACCAACAGCCAGTAGATCTGAAGCCAAACTTCCATTAGTTCGAATCAAGGTAAAATATCAGTAGAAGTAATCCGCGAAAAATAATGAAGATATATAAAACACATTAAAGTCTGGGTACTGTTTTGCAGGTAGATTACTCTGGGTTTTCAACAATAAACCCACAGCGATTTGGTCAGAAGTATGTCGGCAAGGTACCTCGGGCACTAATGCATTAATTATTAAAGTGTTCTTCTCAAGCTTAGCTGAACGAACTCATTTCATGGCCTCTTGTTGTAAAGGTTGCGAACCCCCAAGATATTCTCATTTTCTCAAAAGCAGCAAAGAAGCGCCAGACTACTACAGGAGGTATTTTGCTGTGTTTAAGAAAAACAGTGCACATGATGTTTGATTAGTGAGAGAAAATACAGAGCTATGAGAAATTTTGAGTAAACGTTCATTGACGTTGTCTTTAATATGTTGTAGAGAATATCGATGAGTCCGAGAAACTTCGTCCTGAGGAACTAAACCAACAAACTATTGAAGCTTTGGTTGCAGAAAATAACTTGGTATTTCTTGAAACTACATCTATTATATTTCTTCTTTCAGAAGGGGATGGGATACATATTGGTATCTGTTTTATTCTTAATGTCATGCCCTCTACTTGTATAATACATGATATCAGGAAAACAAAGCATCATGCATTAAAGCGGTTTCAAATGCTCACTGTTAGTTTAGTATTGGAGAAATATAATATGCTTCATAAAATCATAAATATAATGACAGATAAATACTTTTGGCTAGAAGGTAGAAGCTGCATTGTGATAGGCATTGGGCCATTGATCAGTTAATATGATGCACCTACATGGCTATTCGGCCGCATTAAGATTTTACATGAGCTGAAAGTTGATAACAGTATTGTGAGACAATGGATGATTTTATTTTCCAGCAGACTTCCAAATTTTGTTCTACAGATTTGAATACATTCAAACTTTATTTTTTATTTCTACAATGGTGCACATTTCTTGTTTGCAGAAAATGGAGATTCTTCCAGTTGACGACTTGGACATTGCATTGCATGACTTTGTCAGCAAGGATGACAAGACCGCATTCTATGCCTGTTTGCAGCGAAATCTGGATGAAACAAGGGTATGATTTGCTACCGTTCTGTAGTCTTGGGCATATAGTGTTAGTCCTCAACTTGGCCGCATGATGCCTGAGAAGTTATGTCTAAGCTCCAAACGTTTTGTTCGAAATTGCAGAAGAAACTGAATTCCGAAGCAGAGAAATTAAAAATCGAGGAAGAAGATATAATAGTCAAAGTTGGCGAGTGCATGCAGGTACAAACCCTTGTACTGTAGTTTTGCGACGAGGTTCTGGCAGAAAGGTTTATGATTGACCATTTTATTCTCTAGGAACGTGTAAAGGAAATATCTCTACGCTCCAAGGGAGACACAGGGCTCGCATCAAGCACTCAAAATTTGGTGATCACATATATTTAAGCCCTTGCCATCTGCCGCACCTCCTTATGCTCCAGTTTCTGACCTGCTTATTGCTCTGATGGTACTCAAAGCAGGATACTATTAGAGGTAAATCTGTAGCAGCTGAAAGTAGCATGAACACTTTTAGTGATGACGAGGACACCAGGGAGTTGCTTCTTGGTACCAGATCAACCAGGTCTACAGCTGGATTTACTAGACCCTCTAAAGATGCTACTGGTGCCGCTAGAGGTGGAGCTTCCAAAAGAGGCAGGGGGAAAGGCTCATTGAAACAAACCACCCTTAGTTTCAGTCAATCAAGGTTTGTTAAAATTCCTTGCCATTTTTGTCTTTTCAGCACTGAAAATTTCTAGTCTGGTGTGAACTATATGCTACCTTGGAGAAATTTATGGATTAACACCATGAGTGTGGAGCTCATGGACAAAGGGAACTCTAATCAGTTGTCTGCAATTTACCTATGTTGAAGTTTCTGAATGTCGTAGAACTTGTGTGCTGGAACTTCAACATTGATCTGACCGAACAGCATTTTCAGGTCAAGTGCTGCTATTCGCAGTGAGGAGGTGGACTCTTCCTCAGATGAGGACGCAGCGAACGAAGTAAATGAAGTTGTTGAAAATTCAGTACGTCTGTTTCCTCGTTATACTTACACAGTCATTATACATCCATGACAAATTGGCAATCTGGACCGCCTTTGACAAACAACTTCATGAACTGTGTTTTATGGTTCCTCGAATGCTCGTAGGATCCCGAGGACAGTTTCCCACAAAGTGGACGGAAAAGGCCGGCTCCTAGAGGCAGAGGTCGGGCCAGAGGCACTACCACTGCGAAAAGAGGGAGGAAAGCCGACACTGGTTCCATGCCAAGCATGGTGATGAGCAAAGACGATGACAGCGACGAAGATGACAAGCCTAAGAAACCTCCGCCTCGGGTAAGCAAAGTCACGTCGTAATTGTCGTGTGAGAATGTTGTTTGTGTCGTGTTACATGATTGATATCAAGAGTTTTGCTGTTTTGCAGGTCACGAGGAACTACGGAGCCGTCAAGAGGAGATGATTCTCATTCTGATGAAGCGATCCGGAGAATCAAGGGCAGGGTTAGAATAGCTGATGTGTTGTTCCCATCAACCTGGCTGGCGGTCTGTTTGCAGTGGAAGACAAGTGGAACTCGATCACACGATCTCGTGTACTGTAATTTATATGCTTGTAACTGCTAAACGCTGGTAGTTAGTTTGCCAGTTTACCATTGGGAACTACAGTATTATCATCGGCATATACTCTGTTGCAGGCTAGTCTGTCGTGTGAGCTTATGGCATCCTCTTAAGTACTCCCTCCGTTTCTAAATATAAGGCTTTTTTGATTTCAATACGAACTATGTATTAGATGTATTTTAGGGTGTAGATTCACTCACTTTGCCCCGTATGTAGCCCATATTGAAATCTATAAAAGGGCTTATATTTAGGAACAGAGGGAAGTATGTTATAGGCATTGATCTGAAACTGACTAGATCATTTTCTCAAGCAATTACGAAAATAGTACTGATAATCCAGGAAAGGCCATCTTCTCATACGTGCAAAACTATACATAATGCCACAATTACAGAAACAGTTTCCTGGGAACCTCAAAAAGCAAATTACAGAGGCATGTTAGGTCACGTTTATCTAATCTTCTCTGGTATCCTCTTGATACCCGGAGCTCCAGCACTCCCTACCAACGGCCTGGCTGTGCATTCATGTAGTAGGGAGGAGGGGGAGGTGCTGAAGGCGGCGGCCCAGGAACTGGATGCAGAAGAGCTCCGTGCGGAGGCGGCATGGGGACTGCAGCACCGTACTGCAAGCTCGTGTTTGTGTAGCGCGCATCTGCCATTGGTCCAAAGAGAAATGTGTCAGTTTTCTACCAATCAACTTGGGTGTATGTAATACAGAGTGAACTAAAGCAAGAGCCTGGGGCATGAGCTAGGCGCTTACCAAGAGGCTGCTGTCCATAGGGTCTGTAACTGCCAGAGCTCCATGAGGAAGCACCATCATGACGCTGATGAACAGCTTGAGGCAATGGCTGGACATGGACTGGAGCTGCAGGTGCGTAGCCGGATGGCTGGGCATGGACTGGGGGTGCAGGTCCGTAGCCGGATCCCACGTATTCTCCCTCTGGCTCAGGAGTCTCGTAGATGTTCATCGCGTAACCAGGGCTGCTGTATGGACTTGGGTACCCTTGGGAACCATATGCATTTGGTGATCCATATCCAGGAAGCGGGGCGCTTGCGTAGCTTCCGTAGGCTTGATGCTGGTCTGCGGTGCTTGCGTAGCTTGTGTGAACTTGATGCTGGTCTGCGGTGCTTGTGTAGCTTGCGTGAACTTGATTCTGGTCTGCGGTGTTTGGATAGCTTGGATTTGGGTAGCTTGCGCATGTCTGTTGCTGATATGGGGCATTCGAGTAGCTTGACTGGATCTGATATGGAGCATTTGAGTAGCCAGCCTGTGCACCCGGAGCATGCACACCTTGTCCATAGGAGTAGTTCATTGGTGGTTCAAAGCCTGGCGACGGAGATGGTCCTGCCACAGAAACAGTCCCGGTATATGCTGAGCTCACCTGTAAAACAATCTCAGAGAAGTCAGTTAGGATACTTATGGAAAGACGCATGGGCAGAACAATTTCAGAAAGAGTAATGACACCATACCATCTGGTTACTGAAATTGCCATGGCTGGTAGTCGAGGCTCTTGGCAGCAGACGCTTGATCTCGTCTAGGTCTCTCTGGGCATCATCCCTGGAAAGCTCCACAAAAATCACCTGTGCACAATGAAGAAAAAATGAGCTTGATAAAAACGTGAAGTGGCCAAACGTTGCATTGCATCATCATGACTTGTAGTAAACCTCATCGAAAGGCTCCTTTGAACCAGGAATGTCATTTGACAGTGGCAAGACAAAATTGGCTGAAAAGAGAAGCATTTAGTAAATTATTAGTGACTTATAAAGGATGTAGATAAAACAGGGATAAAAAAACACCCCAAAAGTTTGCCTAGATAGTTACCTGTCATCTGATCAACTGCTTCAGCCGGTACATCCTTCCCCATCTCCTGGAATCGTTTTGCTGCCCGGGAATTGAGTTCACTTGGCGATGGGAAAACAACCACAGCAATCTATTGCGTATAAGATATAAACCATCCAACATTAGCACGTTGTTAATTTATTTAATAACAACTCCTGAAAGCAGGGTATGTCTCTTTTCGGGCGGCTTACTTTATAGTAGTTTGCAAATGGCCTCAGCTTGCGAATACGGGCGCTTTTGTACACATTTGTTTGGTCGAGAATGTAATTGCGGGGGATCTTTGCGGCTCTGTCCAGCAATGTGTTGAAAATCTGTGTGGCGTGATCCATCAAACGGTCAAAGCGCTCACCATAGTTGTTCTTACGAAGCAATCCCGGCACCTGCAATGAGCACAACAAGATGAAAAGCAAATTCCAAGTGAACAAACACTGCTTGTAAGATGGGCGGGGTTGCAGCGGTTACCTTCATTTGGTCCAATGCAAGGTTGGTTCCAAGAAGGACGAAGCGTTTCTCCGGATGTTCCCTGACACACTTCTCTGCCCAAGTAGTCTTCCCCGAAGCCGGGAGGCCAACCATCATCATAACCTCACACTCCTTCCGTTCTGCAAACACAGGCCCAAGCACCGCATTGCCATCGACCAAAGATGAGGTCCAGGGCTCGTAGCCATCGACCGGCTCCAGCCCATCCTCCCTGCTAAACTGCATCTCGACGACGACATTCTTCAGCAGGACATGCGGGAAGATTGCTGACTCCCACTGCATCGGCCTCACAGGAGCATCAACCAGACCAAACCCCTTGTGTCCGGCATCAAAGTAGTGAGCAATGCCGAGCCACTCGCCGTTCTTGGCGAACCCAATCGAGGCCATGGGCTTGGAATCGAGGTCCACGGCGCAGACGACGGTGTCCCCGACCCCGAACGCGGCGCCGTAATCGAAGAACCTGCCCCGGTGGGAGAGCTTCCCCGTGCCCCCGAACCCGAAGCCGCGGCCGCCGGCCTCCCCGAGGCCGCCCACGGGGTCGTCCCCCCGGGAGACGCCGACGCGGCAGAGGTGGCGCTGGGCGGCCTCCGTGTCGCCCATCTCCACGGCCTGCTCCGCCACCACCCTGCACCCGAAGCAGTACCGCCCGCCGCCCCGGGCCCCCGCCGTCGCGCGCGCGCCCGACCAGCAGTAGGCGAACCCGCCCCCGTGCAGCGCCTCCCCCCGCAGCCCGCCGGCGCCGACGTCGAAGTCTGGAGAGAGAAGCAGCGGGACACGTGTCCAGCAGTCCTTGTGTGAGCGAGGGTTTGCAGACAGTTTTAATTTCGGCGGGTGTGTGTGTGCTTACCGAGGTTGCAGTCCGCCGGGTTGAGCTGCACGCGCGCCGGTGCCGGCGCCGGCTCGGGCTCGGGTCGGTCGCCGTCGTGGCGGGGGCGCTTCGGCGGGGGCTGCGCGGTCTCGTCGCCCGGCCTCGTCGCCATTGGTGGGTCGGTGATGTTTCGGTTCGGCTCGTTGGAGTCGCTCGCGGTCGATTCGATTGGGACGGAGTCGAGTCGGTACGGAGGGTGCGGCAAAGGCGAGAGGATTAAAAAGCGAAAACACTAACGCCCACACGTGTGGGCGTTACCCAACTCACTCACACATCTGGATCGTGTAGGCGAACTGCTTTTCGCCCACACGATACTACTACCTTGTGGATGACAACTGCAGTTACGCGAACGTGGCAACTCGGTAGACACACATGACAACTGTGATTTTTTGCTACATGGTAACTGCAGTTACGTGAACGTGGCAACTCGGTACACACATGGCAACTGTGATTCTTTGCTACATGGCAACTGCAGTTGCGCGTACGTGGCAACCAGATAAACACACATGCAACTGTGATTAACAATACATGGCAACTGTGGTTGGACCACACGTGGCAACTAGGTAAACACACATGGCAACTACTGTTTTGACCATATGTGGCAAGTAGTTAATCACACACGGCAACTACGGTTTGATTACACGCGACAACTACCATAAATTAGACATGGCAACTATAGTTAAACAAAATAGTTAGAGTTGTCATGCTTTTACAACTACACTTGCCATCCCGGATAATTACATCTGCCAACCAGGATGACAACCAAATCGTCATCCCGCGGGGTACCTAACGTAGCTGCGTCAGGACGTGTGGGCATTTTTACTTCGTGCCACACGCACGGGGTGAAAATGAGTAGTACTTGTTAGGCGTGTGGCACGAAGTAGCCGCGCCCACACGTGTAGGCAATTCTAATGTCCACCCACACACAGTCCGTGTGGGCTGCCTCCTGCTCACACCACACACGGTGTGTGGGTGCATGTCGTATATGCCACACGTGTGGCAGTTATCGGCGTCCTTAAAAAGGAGGACGTGCTAGAGGCTTCGAGTCGGTATCGACACCGGTCCATATGTTGAGTTTCTCTACAGTATTACTCTCTTGTTGAATAATGTGCATACAAATTTTCGGAAAAGTCAAAACTCGACAACTTTGATCAAATTTATGGAGAAAAAAATTTACATCTAGAATGTTAAACATATATCATTAGGCTCATCAAAAGACGTACTCCCTCCGTCCTATAATAGAAGAACGTTTTTGGCACTACACTAATGTCAAAAACGTTCTTATATTATGGAACACCTCCATTCCATAATGTAGCGCTTCCTCTATCCACGTGTTTCAACTTTGACCGTAAATTTAACTATCAAGACTGATTGCGGCGGGAGCAAAAATTATATCAGTGAATTCGTATTCGAAAGAAGTTATCAATTATATAATTTTTTTCTCTCGCCGTAGTTGGTCTCGTTGGTCAAATTTATAGTCAAAATTAGACCTCGAAAAGCGTGGGCGCACTATATTTTGAAATGGAGGGAGTATTTTATATATTTGGTTAATACTTTTCTCTATAAATTTGATCAAAGTTTGATTTTAGAAAAATTTATATGCAGTACATTGTGGAACGAAGGGAGCATTAGTATTTTGAAAAATTAATTTCTTTCAAAACTAAGTGTCCTTACAATTACTAAGCTCCCTCAGAGAGGCTAGAAGAGCTTTAATCCTTTTTTTTGAAGTGGACCCCGTTTGTAACCGTCTGGTTGGGCATAATTGTGTAACCGTCCTGCATAACAGTATCAGAACCAACATTCCATTAACACACTTTAAAAATAGGAATTTTCAATTTTGTGAATTTCCAAAATATTCATTTGTTTTGAAAAAAAACATTGAATTTAACAATCCTAGTCACAATTACTAAGCTCCCTACAAACAGAGGCCCAATAAAGCTTTAAAATTTTCCCTTCAAGTGGACCCTGCTTGTAAGCGTCTGGTTGGGCCACCGGTCCTGCATGACAGTATCAGAACCAACATTCCATTAACACACTTTAGAAAAAGCATTCATTAATTTGATTTTATTTGAATTTTCAATAATATTCATAATTTTAGAAAACATTTATGAATTTAAAAATGTTCATAAATTTTAAAATTGTTCATAAATATGAAAATATATCAATGAATTCTAAAAACTGTTAACGAGTTTTATAATTGTTCATGACTTAATAATGTCCACGGACTTAGAAAATCTCTGTAAGTTTTTAAAGAGTTCATGAATATGAAAAAATCTTCAAGAATTTTTAAAGAATGCTCACAATTTTGAAGAAAACATTTTTTATTTGAGGAAATGTTCAAAAGTTCAAAATATGTTCCTGATTTTCAAAAACAATTCATGAATAAACAATGAAAAGTAAAACAAATATACAAGCGCAGAGGAAAAGTCTGGTAGAGAGATTATTTTCTAGGAAAAATCGAACGAAATCACAAACCTGCATGGCCAACCCAATACTGCCCATGAGGTTCGTGTTTGCTCGCATCTTGCGGGATTAAGTCGGTGTTGGTATTCGATGGATCCGTTTTTGATCCAGTTTTGTCTGTATGTTTATAGATTTAATCCTTTTGATATACGATTCTCTTTATCGGTGATGGTTGCTGCTCTGTTGCGCTAGTCCTGTAGGGCTTAGCACGACGATTTTTTGACTGTCTATTACAATAAGGTTTGCCGGTTCCGGTGAGGGATGGACGAAGAAGGCGACATGTCTTTTGTCTTGCTCCAATGCTTATAGTCGTCGCTGGTGGTCATATATTTTTGGTTGTAATTTTTGTACATCTGGTGTTCTTTTGTACTGCTACGATTGATTATAAATAGGTTGAAAATTCCCCGCAGGAAAAACAATGATCACCACCATAGTGCTAAACTAACACATAGCATATCATCGGATAGCATACAAAATAAGTTCATTTTACCCATCGATAACCTTATAGGGCCCACACTCTTTCACATCCTCCTCTTAGATACCGGGGCTATTTCTCGCACGTTGTGAGACTTAACTCGGTTCTGCCTTTGGCTCGGCCCAGTATTATAAACAGAGAAGAAAAATAAACTAACATGTAGGAAGCTACTTGGGCCCGCCCATTACTAACAACGCCTGAGGCGATACGAGCTTGTGTCTCGCCATAAATGAGACGAAGCCGCTCCCCCTCTTAAACACCGCTTGGATGTAGATGTTGGGCCTAGAATTCTACTTTGGTGTTTGGGTGGCTCGTATATCATTGTTTGAAAAGCCATGACATTCTTTGGCAACGAATATTTGAAGTCCCGCGACAACACTCATGCGCCCCAGCTATCAATTTGGAGACAAGACCCTAAGTTTCCCCTCTTAGTTGGCATCCCTCCCCCTCCGCGTGCGCCTCGCATACCCCTTCGTCTTGCTCGTGGCGAAAATAAAAGTGGTATTAAACAGTCCTCGACGCATTGTGCAAGGCAGTCGCCTGTCTCCGCCCTCCTCCTCCGTCTCTCCCCTCTCCGGCGAATCTCCAACACCCCATAGCGAGTGCCTCCTAGAAATGAGCAATCCCAATGGGCAATGACCATCCAAACAAGCATCATAATGGAGTCTGTCCTCCGAATTCCATGTGCCAATTGCTGGAACATCCAAACAACAAATTTTGAGTTCAGTCTCACTATCAATGTCCTTGGTTGGAACCAATTCAATTCCATGGCCTTCAATAACAAAACCTTACTTTCCCATTCACTCGTCCTTTCCCCGACTAACACCTGGTCGTGGTCCTGATAAAAAACTTAGCGATGATCCAACACCTAATGTTTGTGACGCTAAAAAAAGCAGCTAATGCTTTTGTTAGGCTAGACACTCACCCCTCTACAAGTATCTACTTAAGTTGAGTTGGAGGGCTTACTTTGAGATGGACAGTCGAGGCAGCTGTCTAGCATGGAGAGTTGGCCATGGCCTTGTTCAACTGGAGAAGGATTGGGGATGGAGGGCGACAAGTAAAACTCCACTTGCTCCCAGTGAATTTCCTTATGCTATTTTCACCCTTTTTTCATATAAAACTGTATTTTAACATCGTATTGATTCATGGACGCAATTTTCAAGTACAACTTTGCAGCAAAAGGAAAATACATTCGCCTTGTTTTCATCACGGCCAGAGCACCGCAATGATCGGAGAGAGGTCGTGGGGGAGGTGGGAAGGTGTGGGGGATGCAATGCAAGGAGAAGATTCTTTGCATCGCCGGAGCTCAAGGCCGTGGCACGGCTTGGGAGATGGGGTGGCTGGCTAACACATGCTTTGGATGTGGCACAGAGCTTGCGAAGGACGGTCGGCAATGGTGCCTCCCTGGAGCACTGACGGTGGGAGGCTCCGTTTCATTCGCATGTGGCAGCTTCTGCGACGGTGGGGAGAGTCGATGAGGGAAGGATTAAGGAACACAAAAAGGCGGCAGCGGGGCTCCTCACACACAGGAGGTGTGCCTACGACAGAGAACAGAGGCAACCGGAGGCATTGGTTGGACGGTGAAAATTCCTCCGACCAGGTGTTTCTTTTAAAGCTTTTATTATTAAAATATTTCAAGAGTTTCCTGCAAAGGAAAGAAAAACAGTTAAGGCCTCTTTTGGTTCATAGGATAGGATTATCACAGGAATAGGAATCTTGTAGGAAATGAGATGACATGTATCTCAAATCCTATGAGTAGGAATAGGAAACAAGATGTCATTTGGTTGACACCAAAGGAATTTTTCCATTGAGTCTAGGCTCTTTTTTATTTTTCTATGAAATGTGGAGGATAGGAACCAATCCTATGTAGGAATAGGAATCCATTCCTATGAACCAAAGGGCTCTAAAGAAAAAAAATCCTATAAAGATCCTATCCTCTGGAATTCCTATGAAATTCCTCTAAAAACCAAAGGAGGCTAAACATTTTCTTCGATTGTTTTCTGGAGTGCTTATGTCTTGTGATCACTGAATGCAAACCCATGATCAAGACAATTACATCAGTTTTCTTACGAAAGTATCCTATTCCTACGTTTTGCTTGCTTATTTCACCTGTCTTTCTATGCAAGCGCAAACATATACTCCCTCCGTCTGAAAAAGCTTGTCCCTCAAATGAA